ACAAGATTTTCTTGAGAGTTGAAAAATAGTATAATCACAAGTTCCTCAAGTAAATCAACCATAACTAAAGCTCAAAGCAGACATATTCTTTTACATTGTAAATCAATTTACCAAGTTTTAAGAACAAGCCCAGGAGATAATCAGTACCGTTGAATACAGTCTTCAAATAGTGATAAAACTAAAATGATTTCTGGTCATATATCTGCAGTGGAAATGTCTCTTTTGTAAAAATAGCTAAATCTGCAAAGGCCGTCGCTAATAACACACTATACAATCCTGGTTGTAAGGGAAAAAAAATAGGGTAGGCAAAAATAAGCTTTGCTTCGGCCTATTCCTTTTTTGGTAAACTGTGGGTTTGTCTATTGTTTTTTTTTCTTTTTTTCCTTTTGTTGTTTCTTGTGTTTAATGTGGACAATTTACCAAAATAAAGTGAAAGTGAAGTGAAGTATACAAGAACTACAAGATTGAGGCTTTTCGCACTATCATTCAAAATGGAGATCAGAGAGGTACAAAGTGTAGGCTCTTTATAAAACTTCAAAATGTATGAGAAATTAACAACTGAAGTTACAACTGAATACTGTAATAATTATTATCCTGTCAGAAAAGAACAACTGCGTTTACCGTTTGAATTCATCCATCCATCCATTTTCGGAAGCCGGAGAAACTGGAGACAACCTCTGGCTCTCATTTGTGAGTTTTGCCTTTTTTCACGGTTTCCGATTCAAGGTTATTTATTTTTTGGATTTGTTCTTCAAAGTCAGATGCACAGATCCAATAAATTGCAGCTGAAACAAACAAACAAATAAACAAAAAACAGACAAACAAGCAAAAGGAAATAAAAAAAAAACTGTGCTTACAATGTTCAGTGATCATTGTGCATAAAACACAAAGCAGCATGTAGTCCTAAATTAAAAAAAGGGAGTCTCAACACTGTAGTTTGCTACATAAATGAAACCCACACCTCTGTTCTCAGAAAAAAAAGAAATATCACTTGGGAAATGTAATTTTTTTCTAACTCACATCTATATAGACATAGTCTACATACAGTGCTAACAATAAATAACTGCCAGTCACTACTTGGGAGGATCATTTTTCCATTCTGGCTCTAAATTTTGGAATGCATGAACTTACAGAATCAGGACCACCAGGTGGCAGTGTGTTACAAAAATAACCTGAGCTTTGAAGAAGCAACAGTAAAATGCAGTTTTAGAAATAAACCATTGCTATTCTCAATTAATAACGTAATCATTATGCTCTGATTTGTCGTTCAGTATACAGAAATAGGGCATTTTTATTTAAAAAGACATTGTTTCAAATTTGCAACTTAATATATTTACAGTGCCAGCTAAAAAATGAGAACTTAGTCTATTCCACACCGAGCTACAGACCCCTGCAGTATGTTTTCTTTGTTTTGGCTGTGTGACTGATATCCACAAGACTGTTTCCATAAATGGAATTGTTTAGCTAAGTGAATTACATTGAGAAAATGTATCAAAATGCATTTGTCACAAACCTTCATGATTTTGGCATATCATATACTTTTTTCTATAGAGCCATCTAATCCATTATTCAAATGTGTGAGTCACCACACGAGTGATTGACAGGTCAATACAAAATCTGACAAATTCTGGTCTTCAAACCAGTGATTCACTGCCAATTTCTCACAACAAAACAAATATGCAGGCTAAGAAAAATGGGGACGTCTTTTTTCTGTGAGAATGTGTAAAAATACATTTTGGTGGAGGGGTTTGAGTCTCCCAGTGATCCTAGGAGCTATGTTGTCTGGGGCTTCAAGCCCCCGGTAGGGTCACCCAAGGCCAACGGGTTCTAAGCGAGGGATCAGACGAAGCTCAGCCCAAAGACCCCTTATGATGAATTCAGTAAATGGATCAAGTGTACCCTCACCCAGGGACGCAGGTCACTGGTGCCCACCTCCAGGCCCAGAGGTGGCGCAAGTTGGCAAGCACCTGGTGGCTTGGCTTGCACCCATGGAGCCTGGCCAGGCTTAGCCCGAAGAAGTCACGTGGGTCCCCCCTCCAGTGGGCTCACTACAAATAGCAAGGGCCAAAGGGGTCGGGTGCCGTGTAGAATGGGTGGCGGCCGGAGACGGGGACCTCGGCGAACCAATCCCCGGCTGCAGAAGCCGACTCTAGAAAGTGGAACGTCACGTCTCTGGTGGGGAAGGAGCCTGAGTTTGTGTATGAGGCGGAGAGATTCCGGCTGGACCCTTTTTAGAGTCTGTAGAGGAGGTGCTGGAGGGTGCCCCCCCTGGGGACTTCCTTGTTCTACTGGAAGACTTCAATGCTCACGTAGGCAATGAGTGTGAGACCTGGAGGGGCGTGGTTGGGAGGAATGGCTCCCACAGCTTGAGCCCGAGTGGTGTTCTGTTATTGGACTTCAGTGTTCGGCACGGATTGTCCATAACGAACACCATGTTCAGGCATAAGGGTGTCCATATGTAATCTTGGCACCAGGACATCCTAGGCCGCAGCTCGATGATCGAATTTGTTGTCGTTTCAGCGGATCTGCAGCCGCATGTCTTGGACACTCAGGTGAAGAGGCGGGCCGAGCTTTCCACTGACCACTACCTGGTGGTGAGTTGACACCGTTGGTGGGAGAGGATGCTGGTGAGACCGGGCGGGCCCCAAATGCATTGTGAGGGCCTGCTGGAGTGCCTAGCGGAGTCTTCTGTTAGGTGGAGCTTTAACTCCCGCCTCCGGGAGAGCTTCGATCATGTTCCGGGGGACATTGAGTCTGAGTGGGCCCCCGTTGACGACGCAGCTCCCAAGAGCTGCGGTCACAGGGTTGTCGGTGCCTGTCGCGGCGGTAACCCTCGAACCCGCTGGTGGACACCAGGAGAGATGGGATGCCGTCAGGCTGAAGAAGAAGTCCTATCGGGCCTTCTTGGGCTGTGGGACTCTAGAGGCAGCTGTTGGGTATCGGCAGTGGAGGAGGAGTTTGGAGAGGCCATGGAATAAGACGGATTCGAAGCAATTTTGGTCAACCATACAGCGTCTCAGGGGGGGAAGCAGTGCTCCACCTATACTGTTTACAGTGGGGATGTTGCGCTGTTGACCTCAACCTGTGACTTTGTGGGTCGGTGGGCTGAGTACTTCGAAGACCTTCTCAGTCCCAATGGTCAAAAAGCTCCACGATGGCAAGGGGTGGATGAGATTCGGCCGGAGTTACTCAGGGCTCTGGATGTTGTAGGGTTGTGTTAGCTTACGCGACTCTGCAATGTCGCATAGACATCAGGGCAGTTCCGCTGGATTGGCAGACTGGGATGGTGGTCCCCTTATTCAAAAACGGGGACCGTAGGGTGTGTTCCAATTACAGGAGAATCACACCCTTAAGCCTCCATGGGAAGGTCTATTCGGCGGTTTTGGAGAGGAGGGTCCACCGGATAGTCGAACCTCGGATTCAGGAGGAGCTGTGTGGTTTCCGTCCTAGTCGTGCGATGCTGGACCAGCTTCATACCCCCTGCGGGATCCTGGAGGGTGCATGGGAGTTCTCCCAACCAGTCTACATGTGCTTTGTGGACTTGGAGAAGGCATTCACCTGTGTCCCTCGGGGTATCCTGTGGGGGGTGCTCTGGGAGTATGGGGTACCGGGCCCTCTGTTGCGGGTTGTTAGGTACCTGTATGACTGGTGTAAGAGCTTGGTTGGTATCGCCGGTAGTAAGTCGGACTGGTTTCAGGTGAGGGTTGGACTCTCCCAAGGTTGCCCTTTGTCTCTGGTTCTGTTCATGACTTTTATGAACAGAAATTGTAGGTGCAGCCAAGGTGTCGAAGATGTTCGTCTTAGTGACCTTAGGATAACATCTCTGCTTTTCGCAGATGGCGTGGTCCTGTTGGCTTCATCAGGTCGTGACTTACAGCTCTCGCTTGGATGAGGATCAGTGCCTCCAAGCCCGAGATCAT